CCCCTCTTGCCCCCTGGGCCCGGCCTCCCTGCCCCTTCCCGGCCCCCTCCCCTCCCCAGGACCCATGCGGACTGCCCGCAGCTCCTGGACACAGAGGACATGGTGCGGCTTCGAGAGCCTGACTGGAAGTGCGTGTACACGTACATCCAGGAGTTCTACCGCTGTCTGGTCCAGAAGGGGCTGGTAAAAACCAAAAAGTCCTAACCCCTGCTCGGGGCCCCACGGTGAGAAACGCCTCTTCGCCCGCCTGCCCATATGCTGGAATCTGCTCAGTGGGGCACAGAGAGAGGTCTGGGAGGTGGGTGGTGAAAGCAGGGGGATCCTACAAAGAGCCAGAAGGAGCCAGACATGGCCTTGCCTGTCTTCTGGCAAGGCCATTCCCCTAAATGGGCAGTGATAACCCAGGTGAGCAGGACTGAGATGGAGGAAGCACAGGCATGACCCTGGGGGAGGCACCTGACCCAGCCTGCAGCTCCAGGCTGAAAAAAGTACAAACTAAGCTGGGATATGAAGGACAAAGTTCAGGCTCAAGGAGGGAAAGGGAGTCTCAGACAGAGGGATGAGCCTATGCCCAGGTCTGGGCACAAGAGATGGAGAACATGGCACTCCCAAGAAGGGAAGGAAGTTTAATCTGGGTGTGAGGGGGAGTGGGCGCCATAGTCAGGAGTTTGAACTTCCTCCTAAGGACAAGAATCATAAAAGGTTTCCAAACGAGGAGGGATATATGTGGTCTGGTTAGCATTCTAGAACAATCCTTGAACAACAGGTGAGGAGCAAGATGATGGACTAGATAGCTGGAGAAGCTTAATAAGAAGTAGAAGGACAGGATTCCTGATGGATCCAGTTGGGGAGGCAGAAGGAGCTTCAAGGAAACCTCCCAGGCGTCCAGTTTGGGCACTGGGGAGTTGGTGGTGCCATGCTCCATGCCTGGGAGCTCAGGATCATGGCCAATTTAACAGGAAGATGTTCCTGGTTGGGGTCCTGGATTCCCCAAGCCAGCTGTGGCATTTCTTCTCTAGCCATCTCACCTCAAGGGCCACAGTAGAGAATTCATATCCTGAGCTGACTGCCCATTCCAGACAAGCTCAGAGGAGGAGTGGGGTGGGCTCAGAGTCCCAGGGGGATTAGGTCAGGGCTGGGCCAGAAATTGGAACTCCTGATGCCCGCTTAGTAGCTCTTTACCTTGCCCCATCACTTTTCTTACCCATTTTGTAGAGAAGAAAAGATAGAGACCCAGAGAGAGCAAGGGGATTGGCCCAAGTAATGTGAGTCAGAGACAGAGCTAGAGGTGCACTCAGATGCCCCTCAGGGCCTGGAGCCATTGTGGGGGGCAGCCCACATGTGCACACATGTACTCAGGGAAGCTGTGCAGGTGAGGAGAGGATGGGCTTGGTGCTCTCTGCAGGTCATATATGGACTTTGGAGCTGCTGCCCAGCAGGCTGGCCTGGAGGGAGAGGGGCCAAACCTGGCCCTGATCCAGTTGGAAAGTGTGACTCAGCTGTGTTGTTGCTCGAATTGCCTGGTGTTTGGCCTGTCACTGGGGCAGCTGGAACCCTGAGGCGTGAGCCCCAGTGTAAACAATGGCTTTATAAGGTCTCCAGGGAAGACACCAGGAATGGGAGGGAGTTCCACATTGGGGGAGGGAGGCTGGGATCCCTGGGGAGATAGCCACAGCTGGAAGACGCAGAAAGAGGCTGCCTCTCTATTATAGTTTTCCCAGAATGGGAAAACAAGCCCACTCTGGGGCAGGGCTGACCCCAGGGGCACACAGCACAGCAACAACAGAGTCAGGAACTTTTCACTCACGCTAAGTGCTTTCAAGGTCTCAAATGAGGTAGAGAATGACTATACTGTTGCTATAAAGATAGGGAAATTAAGTCACAGGACAGGGCAGGGCTTTATCTAACATCCACAGCTGGTCAGGGATAGAGCCTGGACTGAAACAAAGGTCTCCTTCCTCCCAGGCTTCTTCTCTGAAGGAGCTCATGAGCTGGGAGTAGGCCTCAGCCCCACCATGGTCCCAGGTTTGACCTTGAAGACACAAGATGAGAGGTAGCCCTGGGCCCTTTGGTGTCTTGGGAACAGGAACAATTCCTGCCCTTATGCATTCCCTGCCAAAGGAAACTCACTTAACAACATTGACTGAGAGCTTACTATATGCCAGGCATGGCAGATGAGAGGGAGAAAGGCAGAAGAGGTCTTGCTCTGGGAGAGGAGGGAAGATGGAACCAGGAGACAAACTACAGCCTTAGAGGTTTGAGGCTGTCATTTGCTTAGTAGCTGCAGCCCACTCATTCCAGAGTGGGGAGAGGGCTCCTGCAATAGGGAAGAAGGGGCTCCAGGCAGGTGCCAATACCCAGGGCTTGGGGCTTAGGCCCTATCAAACCTAGGCCTGCACTTAATGGGCTTGAAACAAACGACTCCTCTACTCTGTGATTGTTTCCCTATCATAAAGAGATCTAGCACTCTGGAAGATGAACAGAGGGTTGTCCCACCCGAGTGTGATGTAGATAGATGGTCCTGTATTGATTGGGACCCTCATCTGCCTCCCCTGCTCTACCAAAGGGGGGTAATAAGGGTAAAGAACTGCCCCTCCCCCCACCCACCCACATACCTCCCTGGCCATCTCACACAGCAGGGTTGTCCCCGGGTGCAAGGACAGGTTGGAGGGGTGGTGGGGCTCTCTGCAGGAGATACCAGGCCAGAGAACTGGCAGATAATTGGGCCCAGAGTGTCACTGGGACATGCCTGGCTGCAGGGAAAGATTTGCCAGGAGTAAGGCCCCTCAGGTGCAATGGCCCAACTGAGAGGCTTGTGCCAGCTGGAGTGTGCCACTGAGGGTGAGCAGATGGTGGCCCTCCAGAGAGGGGTGGGAGGGGTCTGTAGTCAGGACCTCCCCAGGGATAGGGGTAGAGACCAGTACCCTTCCTTGGCTGGGATGAGGCACAGCTCTCCTCTTCCTGCATCTCCACCTCCACCTGCCTGGCCTCCCTTCTCACAAAAGTGCCTCCAGGCTTGGATGGGTGGAGCTTGGGGCTCCCTGCCTTCCTGGAAGGCTCCCCACCACCACCACCTCCCTTCAGTCCACGATGGAGAGTATGGAATTTCTGGAAGACCAGCAGGCTTTGGCAGTGCAAAGACCTCCGGGTAGAGGCTTCACCACAGGAGCCGGGGCCAGCGCTGACAACCACCCCTGTGCCCCCTCCCGCAGGATGCTGGTAGACTGCGTGCCCCTGGTGGAGGTGGAGGACATGATGATCATGGGCAAGAAGCCCGACCCCAAGTGCGTGTTCACCTATGTTCAGTCGCTCTACAACCACCTGCGGCGCCACGAGCTGCGCCTGCGCGGCAAGAATGTCTAGCCTCCCACCCGCACGGCTTGCCCGAGGCAAGCTGCCGCC